GACTGTGCCCGACAGCTCTGGAACCAAGAGCCAAGGCTCGGACGCTCTCGAATCTTAGCGTTTGTCACGGCAGCAGGGGGTGGCGTTAGCAGAATTTGGATGTTGTCTGTCAAGTCCGGGAGTTTCCTCTGTGCCTCCTGTCCAGGAGCACCCAGCTTCCTCGGCCTTGCTCTATGAGGGGTGAGTGGAGCTACCCGCCCTTTGAGCCTCAGACGGTGGCTCCCTGGTGCACCTGGTGACTCTGCTCTGGGGAGCTCGGGGCGGGGGGTGGGGGGGGAGCGCGACAGTAAGGAAGGCCAAACAGACTCGCTGGCCCAAGAGGAGAGGAAGGGGTAGGGTCCCGGGCAGGCGACACTCAGGTCCCAGCTCAGGTGCCGAGCGCCAAACCAACGATGAGTGAGTACGGGGGCAAAATTTTGTCAGAATGCATCAGTCAGCAAGTGCATTGAGTGTCCAGGCAGCCGAGTGCCAGGGTTCCCTGCATTCCGGAGCAGGGTCCCTCCCAGGCCGCCCTGGTCTCTGCCGGCGTTTCTGTCCTCTTTCCCTCTTCCTGGTTTCTTTGAAGGGCTCTGGAAAGCCCAGAAGCATCTCGCCTGTAACGTCCCGCTGGATCTTCGTGGAAGTCGCGCCGACCTCAGGCCGTTTCCTTGCCTGGCAGTGGGTGCTGGGCTCCTGCTGGGGTTTTGCAGTTTCTTGTGGAGTCTGTTTTCATCTGTGATTTTCCCCAGGGGTTTCTCCTGTCCCCCACTTCCGGGGTTTTACTGTGAAATGGTCCCAGTGCCCTCTGTGTCCTTGCAGCCTGTGGCCTGTCCCCGCTCCCAACAGTGTCTGTGCCTCCGCTCCTCTCTCTCTATGTTGGTCTCTTCTGATAAAATACTGTTGGTATTATCGATCCTTTCTCAGAGCCAACTTTGGGGGCTTTCCTATGTTTTGTATTTCATTAATTTCTGCTTTTAAAATTATCTCCTCCCCTCAGGTTAAATTTATTTTTTGCTTTCATTTTTCCTTGAGGCAGGATCTCACTCCATACCCCAGGCTGGCCTCGAACTGACGGCAGTCCTCCTGTCTCAGCCTCCTGAATGCTGGGTTACAGGCATGTGTCATTATGCCTGGTGCTTTTCTAACTTTTTGAGACACATTTTTATGTCATCTGTTACAGCCTTTTAAAATTCTCTAATGTGCTCTAGGTCATTCCCTTTAAGAGCTGACTGGGCTGAAACTGTAAGTTGTGATATGCAATCTTTTTGTTACTATTCAATTCACATATTAGATTTTGACTTCATGTTTGATGGCTGGATTTTGCAAATGCTTTTTGTTCTTTCAGTTTACATGATAGGCTTGGAGACCTCCTCCCTGCCTGTCTCCATCTCTGGAACTCCCTGAGATGTGCCGGTGCAGATGCTCGTGGCCCGGCCTCCTGCCCCGGGTGGAACGGCAGGCACTGCAGATCCTGTGGCTGCAGAGTGGGAGCTGCTGGCGGTAGGGTTCCAGGCTGGCAGCCACGTCCTTTCCGCCCACTCAGGACAGCGTCCTGGCTCGTGTGGCTGGCCCTGTCCTCCTCTCTGTGGAGGAAGCTCTGGCTGCTTTTATGATCAAGATTTGAAACTCTTTGGTTCAAGAGACACCGCCAGAGCAGTGGAAGGCACAGGACAGGAGATCACAGAGCCGCTGGGATAGAGGTTCAGAGCATGAAGCCTCCTGCAAGCTTGCGCTTTCGGCGACCAACAGCCAGTGATGCCTGTGCCCTGTGGGGCCTGTGGGCGGGCCAGGTGCTGGGCGGGAACAGCCAGCTGCCTGCTGTCCCCTTGGCTGGCGCCATGGGCAGACACTCGGTGCTGCACCCGCCCCTGGACAGTCGCCATCCTCCTCAGGACCCCACAGGTCTCTGCGCAGGCTGCCTCTGACTTGAGGGCGCCCTGGTGGCCTCACCAACTCAGGTTTGTGTTCTGGGGTAATGTGCCGGCCAGGTCACCCTTGAGCTGCCTCCTGTAGAGATGCGCGTCCAGCGAGAACTTGCACAGAGAGAAGGAAGGAGGGCCAGAGGCCTTGGTGGGCGCCAGGGCCGGTGCAGCTCGCAGGGGCCCCGCAGGCCCAGCGGAAGCCCGCGTCCGCTCGGAGAATGCATCACCTCACGGTGCACGAGTCCCACGTCCCCTCCTGCCTGACTTCACCACCCGCCTTCAGCAAGCCACACTCAGGCTGCCATGCTGCGGGGCTTGGTACCTGCATGCCACATGCATGGCACCCGGGCAGAGACAGGAGCCAGAGCTGCGGGACAGAGGAGCCCAAGGAGCTGGAATTGGTGGAGAGGGGAGCAGGAGCCTCAGAGAGAGTGCCCTGGGCTGGGGTTGGTGCCAGGGCCACCGGGGCGGGGGCCACTGAGCAACAGGGCACTGCTGGGTTCACACAGGGCAGGGGACAGCTGCGTCCTCAGCAGCAGGGGAAGGACGCGCAGCAGCCCTGAAAATGGCCTCAGCCTGGGAGCCGAGCTGCCTGGGACTTACCCCGCAGAGCCTGGCCTCGAGCCTGGAAGGAACCAACCTGCTGCCCCGAAAGCTGCTGCCCAGCATTGCCCTGTGGCATCCCATCGAGGGTCTGTCACCAACCCAGCATCCAGTGCCAGGGCCATGCGGCCCAGCAGTGAGCAAAGATGACTTCCATACTGTTAGCTCGAGGGAGGAAAACAGACCATTGTTAGAGGGAGACCTCGGTGAAGCCACAGCTGTCCACATGGAAGAATTAGCAGACAACCAGGCATGGTGGCATATGCCTGTCATACAAGCACTTGGGAGGTTGAGGCAGGAGGATCTCTGAATTTGAGACCAGCCTGGACTACACAGCAAGACCCTGTCTCAAAACAAAAAAACTAGCAGACAAGAATGTTCAGTGGGTCATGCATGTGCGCTGCTGTGTTCAATAGCAGGGAAAATGTGTCTTGGTTACTTTTCTCTCATTGCTGGGACAAAATACCTGTCACCCAAAATTAAGGGAGGAAAGGTTTATTTAGCTCACAGTTTGTGGAGGTTTCAGTCCATACTCGGCTGGCTCCAAGGCAGGGTGGTGCATGGCAGAGGGCAACGCTTCGTGGCAGAGGAAGATAGCAAAGCAACAAGAGCAAAAGAGGAGGAGGTGCATGCAGCCTCTTTCCCTCCCTTATGTTGTATGCAGACTACCCACCCCAGGGTGGGTGTAGCACTCACACCCATAATCCCAATGCTGGACCATGGATCAATCATAAACTCTAGAAGCCCACCCCATGACTGCATGAGGCTTGGGGGACGTCCAGACACAAACCATAACAGTGAGCAAAATTAAGAGAAATAGCAGATACCAATAAAGGCTCAAGTCTAGAGATGGGAGACACACTGGATGGGACTGACAGACGTAGAAGACGGCTGCGTCGGTCAGCTCTTCACTGTGACAGATACCCCGGGACGAGCGGCGGCTGAGAGGAGGAGGAGGGTTTTGCTGGGGCTTTCAGTTCCGTGGCCTCGGTCCCCGGTTGGCCGCTGAGGTGGCATCGCAGCAAAAGTGTGGGAAGCAGGACAGAGCCCAAAGGGAAGGGGCGGGCACAGGGCACGGCGCTCAGGTCCGTGCCCCACAGCCTGCTCTCTGCCAGCCGCACCCCTGCCCACCTCTTCCGGTGACCCGGTGAGGTTAGGTTTCCATCAGCTCTCCGCGGCTGCGGGGCGGTCAAAGCCGTCCGGCCTCAGACGTCCCCCGAAGCCCACGGGCAAGGAGGAGGACAGAGGAAGCGGCAGGGCCTGGAGGAGATCTCGCCTCCTGCGGCCCGCGGGACTGCGCTCCCCTATGCCTGTGAGGGAGGCTTGGGAAACGCCGTGGCTGACATTTTTCCAGGTGTGGCGAAAGCTCGTCCCCACGCAGCGCAGCAAGCCCTGGGCTGAGGCACAAGGAGAAGCGCCCGGTGCCTGCGGCGGAAGCTGCCGGAGGCAAAAGCCTGTTACATGTGGAGGAGCAAAGGTGGAAAGGAAAACTGGGGCTCCAGGTCCTGAGAACAGCTGCGCCACAGTGTGCAGAGAGAAGGCGCCTCTCTGCGCTCCGTGTGACCGGAGCCCGGCCGTGGACCCGTGCTGGGCGGGCTCTGCGAGGCTCGTGGCGGGCACCCACTGCCCTGCTCAGTGCCTCACCCAAGACGGCGCCAGGCAGCCGGCCGGAGCCCTGGGCTTCATCACTGCCGGCCGCGAGGCCCCTGTCCGAGCTCCTCCCCAGAGCCCACACCGGGGCTCGGCTTCTACACGTGAACGCCGGGAGGGCTGCGCTCAGTGCCGTGTAACTTGGCTTTAACAGCAGGACAGACGGTGACGGCCACGAAGCTCTGCGAGAGGAGCAGGCACAGAGAGACCAGCCCGGGTCCTTGAGGGGCCAGAGGCGGGGAGGGGAGGGACCGGGAGTCTCCGCTGGGGGCCGGATTTCCGTCCAGGTCGATGGGAGCTTCCGGGGGGAGCGGGTGACGGCTGCACCGCAGTGTGGACCCCAGGGTGTCCCTGCTGTGCTCCAGCGGGGTTCAGGGGTGAGTTTTATGTGTGTTCCTTGCCATTTAAAACCCATGAGTAAGGCTGGGTGTGGTGGTACACACCTGTAATCCCAGCACTCGGGAGGCTGAGGCAGGAGGATTGTTGAGAGTTTGAGGCCAGCCTGGGCTACGAAGTGAGTTCAAGGCCAGCCTGAACTGCGTAGTGAGACCTTGTCTCAAACCAACCAACCAACCTATGAGTACAGGGCTCAGCTTCGTGTGCTCGGCTTCCTCTCTTGGCCGCCTTGTCCGGTGTGGAAAGAATAGCTCCAGAGAGGTCTTGGTGGACTGTGAACCTTTTGTTCGCTTGAGTTCGTGGCTCTTCCGTCACCGGGGAGGGAAAGTGGAAGTGTGACGCAGTTTTCCTGGCGTTCGGCCTTCTGGACGTTCAGAACCCTGCTCCTAGCTGTCCACAGGCATCTTCCTGTCCCGTGGACTCAGCTCATGACTGTGTCTCTCCTTCCAGGCCCTTGCACCGGACACCTCTGAGGACAGCCTGTGCCCGCCCTGCTGAACCCACGCCTTGGTGAGTGAGCGTGTGTTGGGGTCGTGTGTACATCCGGGTTTCCTGGTACAGACCGCGTGTGGGTGGCCCTGGAAGCCTGCGGAGAGCCCAGAGGCACTGGTGGTTCTGGCGCCGAGGGAGCCTGGGTCGTACAGGCTGGAGGGCAGAGCCTGGCGCAGGAAGGGACCGCTGGGCGAGGCGTCTCTCCGCGCTCCAGGGGCCCCTCCTCTGGGACAGCGCCTTGTCCCTGTGACCGCGGCTGTGAGGGCTCAGGAGACCCCGGCCTGGCTGTGCCCAGGGAATGCTGGGAACCACGGTTGGAGCAAGCCGCCTCCGTCCACCGCCATGGCCTGGCTGTGGTCGAGCGCCGAGACGCCTCCTGTGTTTCCCGACCGGAAGGACTTTGTTGGGTGTCACTTTGGAGTTATTTCACTGGGGCTGCGTATTTCATGACTGGTGGCGTTGGTGTGGTCACACGCAGTTCCTGGTGTCGGGGCGCCCTGGGCCGCTCACCCCGGCCTTCATGGGCAACGCCTTTTGCTGCCCGCTCTTGTTTGAGTGGATAAAGTTGCTGTGGTTTTTCAGTTGCCTGAGCTACTGCTACTCTGTTGCAAGCGGAACACATTGTATCCTAAAGCCCAGCTCACAGCTAAACTGTTTCTTTTGACTTAAATAGCCATCACCTGACAGTCCCCATCTGGACCTAGGGACAGGGCGAGGCCGTGGGGTGGCCCCCGAGGTCACTGGGGGCCCATGGCTGGTGGTGCCGGGGACAGAGGCCCGTGTCGGGTGGGCGGGGACGACTGGGGTCCAGAGGAGCTCTGCGGGAAGCCGAGCCGGGGGAGGGGGAGGGGGCCTGGGATGCTGGGCAGGCCGTCCCCTCCTTGAGAGGACGGGGACTCCGGCTTCTGTGCCGGGGAGGGCTGAGAAGGGGCAGGAAGGAGAGCAGCGGGGTGGGCCTGCTGTTCCCGCCGGGATGGCCGAGCTGCCGAGCACAGTCTCCGAGCTTGGAGGCAGCGTGTAAGAGGCTAACTCGCCCGGCACCAACGGGCAACTCCCACTCAAACCCACACACCGTACGCTCCCCGGCCTCACACCTGCTTGTGTGCTGTTACGAGCTGCACCCCTAAGCCCAACTCAGCACTTTGTAAAATTTTATTTTCTCTTTCATTTTGTTTTTTTGAGACAGGGTCTCACTATTCAGTTCAGGGTAGCCTTGAACTCACTATGTAGATGAGGCTGGCCTTGAACTTTCAGCAATCTTCCTATCTCAGCCTCCCGAGACTGGGATTAAAGGTGTGTTCCACCATGCCTGGAGGCACATATAAGCTCAGCGCTGGGGAGGCTGAGGCAGGAGGATCGCTATGAGTTTGAGGCCAGCTTGAATTACATAGGGAGACACTGACTCAAAAATCAAAAGAAACCAACGAGGCAGATCAGACAGATCCAGACAGATGCCGCCCCCACCCCTACTCCCGCTGGTTGTCACTGGTTCTGACATTTGGGGCTGCGCCTTTGTTTCTGGCTTGAGCCTGCATCTCCTAAAGCCCTCCCAGGTAGAAACCCTGGGAGAGGTGTGCTCCTCGGGGCCCAGGGACGCGCCCAGCAGGAGGGGCTGACCCGCATTCTGAGCCTAATGGTGCCGAGGGAGACTCGGAGACCCTCCCAGAGGGTGTGGCCAGTTAGCAGTGGCCTGGGTTTTCCGGGCCTTGGGCGATGAAACCGTGGGCAGCGGGGCCTTGCTCCTCAGCTTCACCTGGGTGCTCCTGGGCGCCCCTCGGCTGTCCCCGGGACCCACTCTGGGCGGCCTCGCTGGGGAGTGCTGGGGACCACCCTGCCTCTGCACGGCGTTGTCTTCCCTCTGCTCTTCTGGGTTTCTTCCGAGGCACTCAAGTCCCTAACGCAGTCTCCTCCCCATGGCCTCCGAGCCCCCTGTCCAGTGTGCTCAGTTCACAATCTGGTCCCCTCCCTGTGCTGCTGTCCCTCCGGAGCCTGGCCTGTGGACTTCCTGTTGCCCACAGCTCCCTGAGAAGCCTGGGGGTGGACGTTGCCCCTGCGGCAGGTGACACTGATGAGGTGACCATGGTGAGATCAGGACAGGTCAAGCCCAGCCCTTGGGATCCACGTAGAACCAGTGAGAGGGAGGGAGGTAGATCCAGGGCCCTCTGGGGGGCAGTGCAGCGGGTGAGGCGTTGGTCCCTCATGCGCAGCATGGGAAGCTACTCTGCTGGGGAGAGGGACCCACGGAACTGACTTCTGCCTCGTCGAGGCACATGGGTGCTGGGTGAGATGGTTCCAGCCTCCGCCTGAGCGCAGGAGTTTAGCCCCTGACAGCAGCCAGTGTCTGTGCCCGGCTGGCCCTGCACCTCCAGTGGCCTGTGCCTAAAGGAGGGGAACGAGCTCCAGCTCACTCAGCAGCACCCCTGGGTCCCCCAGCCCGGGAAGGCCCTGGAGGTGGAGGGAGTCCGGCCTCTTCTCTACAGCAGAGGAAGGTGAGTGTGAGTGTGGCAGGGGCGGTGTGCCGCAGAGGGCAGCGGGGCCGTGGTGCAGGGCCCAGACCTTGCGCCCTCTTTGCACACTGAAGGGTGACACAGGGCACAGCCCAGGCTCCGACTCTGCCGTGAAGACGCCGGAGGACGTGCAGGCGCACACAGGTGTGCACCGCTCCCCGGAGGTGTCTGTGTGGTTCCTCTGCCCGCGCGGCGTGGCTGTAAGCTGCCCCAGGGTTTCCCCGTATACACAGAGCTTGTCTGAAAGCACCGTCCCTTGCACATGTGTGCCAAAGTACGTGCACGTGCCAGGTGGGAAATTCTTGTGTGACGATTTCCGTGCACAGTTCCGTGGTCACCGGTGCATCAGAACCAGATCGGACTCTGAGACGTGACACGTGGTGTGTGGGGCTCACGGGGGAACGGCGGGCCTGGGCCATGTAGGCGCAGCCAGGCCAGAGGCTGTGTGTGCAGGTGACGCAGCTGAGCTCTCGCTGCCCGGCTGGCCCGCTGCCTGCCGCGGTGGAAGGTGAACTTTGCCTCTTGTGTGGTGTGGAGCCTGTTCTCCATTCTGTCCTTCTGACCAGTGCTGCCTGCGGGTTCCTGAAGTGACAAGGAGTGTCCAGGTGGACAGCGGTGGGCCCAGGGCCGTCTGCTTTGGGGACGCTCGGGGCTGGGCTCCTCCGGTTGGACACCAGGAGTGGACTGTGTGCGCGTGCTCTGCGGTGAGTGTAGTGCCCAGGTAGCTGTCCTTCAGCAGCGCCGCCCGCCCCCAGCCCTCCACAGCCCAGGCCCAGGGACAGGTGGGCAGTGGTCTCCACGCGGCTGTGCTTGGGTACGCAGCTGCTGCTTGTGGCGCCATGTATACGGTGTCCCCACTGTCGCCTGCACCGCATGGTCCCTTGCTGAAGGTAGCTGAGAAGTGTAGGCTGCTCCGGGCACGGGGCTCTGGCCGCCACAGTGCCCGGCCACACCGGCCCACTCCGTGTCCAGAGGCCGTGGTAGCGGTGGCCGATGGCCACGGAGGTGGCGCTGACAAGTGTCTCGTTCGTCCTCGCGGCTCCAGCCCTACGTCCCTTCTCGGCCTCTCCTGGGAGCCTCCGCACACGTGGGCTGTGGGGGTGCAGTCCAGCCGCAGGCCCCCGCCGGTGCTGCTCCCGGGCTCCCGTCCTGACCTCAGGTGGAGGGGGCTCCTCCCCGCGCTGGCTGCTCTCGCTGTCCCTGCACCCGGCCTCGGGGACTCCCAGGTTTCTCTGGCTGGCGTCCACGTGCAGGCGGCGAACGCTTGCTTCCCTCTCTCTGTGGAGGCCAGGTCTCCGGCGCTGCCTCGCCGGCCCTGAGCCCCCGGGCTTCCGCGGTTCTCAGCTTCCCGAGCGGCTGGGACGACAGGCACACGTGTCAGTGCACGGCTGCCCTCTTCCTGTGGGCGTGTCCAGCACAGTTTCCACGGTGACTCTCAGTGGAGGCACCCCCACACACACACACAGCTGGAGGCCTGAACCCCAGCGCCCGCTTTGCCCGCAGCTGACGAAGCAAGCAAGCCCTTTCTCCTTCCTGCTCTTGAGGTCACCGGGCTCAATCGTGTTCTTACTTTAAATAAAAGTTTACTTTTAACTGTTGTTTTGGCCGGGCGTGGTGGTGCACGCCTGTGTAATCCCAGCACTCAGGAGGCTGAGGCAGGAGGATTGTTGCGAGTTCAAGACCAGCCTGGGCTACAAAGTGAGATCAAGGCCAGTCTGAACTGCATAGCGAGACCCTGTCTCAAAAAGGCAAAAAAAACCCCAAAACAAAAAAACTGTTGTTTTTAAGAGTGGGAGTGAATTGAGTCTGGCGGGTGAAGGAACCGAGGGGACGACAGTGTCCGAGTATTTCACTGAAATGGGCGGCGGGGTGTGCCTGTGAGTCGGCAGCTTTCAGAGAAGAAACTGTGATCTTGCTTTTGTCGTGCTTGTCTGGCAGTCTCCCCGGCCCTGCTCCGTGTGGACTGGGAAACACAGGTTCCTATGTCGGTTCGGTGCCTGGACATGGGGTCCGTCTGCAGCAGGAGCGAGGGGGCCGGACAGGGCAGAGGGCACTCGGAAGCCTCGTGCGTTCTGCTGGCAGAGTTGGAGAAACAAGTGTGTTGCTGCCTCTTTTAGCTTCTTCTTCTTCCGTACAGACGCCAGCCTCCTGGGTGTCTGCTGCAGGGCTCACAGGGTCTCTGGTGTCTGATCGGCACCAGCCAGGCCGGGGCTCAAGGGACCGATGCCTTCGACCTTTGACCCCAGCTGCACAGTCTCCATGTGTGGGCTCCAGCTCTCTCCTTGATCATCCAGCAAATTCATCTGGGCCACCTGTGGGGCCGGCCTAGACAGCGGCTCCCGGTTTGTTTGTGTGCAGCCGCGGCTGGACCCTTGCGCTGTGTCCTGAGCACGCCCTGGGTTCCGCAAGGGCGTGCCTTGTGGTTTGGGGTGTCTCTCCAGGGAGTGGAGCCCTGGTGCTGGAGCAGGGATTGTGACACCCAACACAGATGCAAAGTGAGTGTCACTTTAG